ACTTACAAGGGGAGATAGATTCAATGTTTGTAATGGCTCAGCCATTCCCAGTCCTTATTCAATCCTAAATTGATTGTATCTAGTTTGCATATCAATTCCAGCTAATTCCAGTTAATGAAAACTCAGTTTCCTTCCCCCAAATTTTTGAGCTCCTGACATTGTTTTCATTCCCCAGGGCTCAAAATGGACCTGGTTTTCATTTCTTTAAAAAGTTTTTGGTCACATTTTTCCCTTCCAAAAATTGTCGTTTTTTTAACAACAACAATTTTCATTTTCAAAACTGACTGGGAAACAGGACGCAAAGAAGAAAGTGGATCAAAAATTTCAATACAAAGTTTCAAACATTTACAAAAAGAACCACGCTGGACATTTTTTCACAAGTTTTCCATTTGGAAAAAAGGGCCATTTTTTGACATACCCCCCCCCACCTGCAAACTTTTAATTCTAAATAAATTTCTGTCAGCTCTAGAAATGGAAAGGATTTAAAGCTCTACAGTCCGTTTCACCCCGGGGTTGAAATCAATGGAGTTACACCCCAGTTTTACATCAGTGGTGAATCAGGCCTCTGTTATTAGAGTTACCCCCCTCAGGGTGCTACTCTATGTGAGATGATTACACTTAATATCCCCAAACTCCACACCACTGATTTCTCTTCTGATAAGAAGCCAACTTGCCAGGTCCCAGAAATCCACTCCCACCCAGCAGGGGAGAACATGGGTGGCAACAGGAGACACAAGATAGGTTTTCCACATTTCTAAATTGTAGGTCAAGAACCCTGGCTGGCTGCCACCACCGCAGATGGCATTTTACATGGCTTCGACCAAAAGCCTGACAGTCAGTATGAAGAGAAAGAAAAGGACTCACGAGTTGTTGAATTCCAAACCGTTGGGCCATTTCCACCCCTGACCCGGTTCCCTCCGGAGGCCGATCCACGGATCCGTTCTGACTTTAAAGCGCAACATGAAAATCTTACAAGAAGAAAAGCAAAGGGGGAAGCAGTTATATGCAAAGGCCACAGACAATCCCACCAAGCATTATCTTCCTGCATTACTATAGAAGAACAATCAGGACCCCATGAAATCTGCAGCCACGGAATTCACCGCTGGAGGAAGAATTGTGTTCTACAGTGTCAGCTTTCTTGCCTGAGTCTGCAGAGAGCCTGAGACAATAGCTCTGAGATGGGGGAGCTGCCCAGAATGTGACTTATGCATCAACGACTGCCTCAGTCTACAGAGAGTCTGATCTAATAGGTCTGAGAGTGGCATGAACAGTCCTGTGCACCACCATGATGTGTCAACTCTGAAACCTAAAGATGACTGTGACGTCATGGAAATATGACGAGTGTAAATCTGATGTAACTGGAATATGTTTTATGCAAAAGGTCTCTTTTAAGGTATCATAACAAAGGTTATAAACTACTGAATATAATCCTCCTATTTGTATGAATGTATCATTCTTGTATCTGAAGCTAGAAATATGAAGTATAACTCTGAGGTCCTATTGTAATTATGCACAGTGTGGGCAATTAATGGTTATTTGGAATCTTGATGGTTCCCATTGACTAGAACAATTGACTGTAGATGGCTCTGTTTACTTGCAAGCCTCCACTGCCTATGTGCGAGCCAGTCCTGAAAGAATGGAGGGGGGCTCACAGGATATGTGAACATGTCACATGACACTAGAATCTATCTTTAACCTGGTGCTTTTCCATTTAGAAGGAGGGGTGGGAACCCAAAGAGAGACAAAGGATTCCCATCTTGTGCCAAAGCTATACAAGGGAGTGGAACAAAACAAAGGGAGCAGCCAGTCATGGAGAAATCCCCTAGTTACCATCCGAGCTGGAATTAACAATGATTATACCAGGGGAAAGGATTGGGCCCAGACTAGGAAGGAGTTTAGTCAGTGAAAGAAGCTTTTTGGAACATCTCTAAGGGTGAGATTTATCTGTATACAGTTTCTTAATGTATTAGGCTTAGACTTGTGTGTTTTGTTTTATTTTGCTTGGTAACTTACTTTGTTCTGTCGGTTATTACTTAAATCCTACTTTTTATACTTAATAAAAATCACTTTTGTTTATTAATTAACTCAGAGTAAGTGATGAATATCTGGGGGAGCAAACGGCTGTGCATCTCTCTCTATCAGTGTTATAGAGGGCGGACAATTTAGGAGTTTACCCTGTATAAGCTTTATACAGAGTAAAGCAGATTTATTCAGGGTTTGGATCCAATTGGGAACTGGGTGCTGGAGATAGGTGACCTGCTGAGCAGTTTTTGGTTAAAGTCTGCAACTTTGGGGGCGTGGTCCAGACCTGGGTCTGTGTTGCAGCAGGCTTACGTGTCTGGCTCAACAAGGCAGGGTTCTGGAGTCCCAAGCCGGCAGGGAAAATGGCTCAGAGGTAAATTCAGCACGTCAGGTGACAGTCCCAAGGGGTCTCTGTAACCAAACCCGTCACTATGACAATTTAGGCATTGTCAATACATAAGATGTGCAGCAGGTCAATCTCCGTCTCGCAAGCAGCCTTGTGATTTGGGGGAAAGCTTCTTAGTCTCCTCCTGCACTAGCAACTAGACTCTTTGGGGCTGAGACCAAGCATGAAAAATGATGTGCTAAGATTTTTTTTGAAGAAAGTGAGAAGGCATTTAGTCAGGGGAGGGGAGAACTAGATTCATAATGGGGCAGGACAGTCTTCATTTTGTGTTTGTACAGCACCTAGCACAAAGAGGTCCCAGTCTATGATGAGGGCCCCTAGGTGCTACAGTAATAAATATTATTATTATTATTAATAGACATGGCCTGTCAATCTTCTGTGAAATCTCTGCCACGACTTCATTAAAAGAGGCAGATTCAAATTCAACTACCAGAATTTCCATTCCACTTCCATTCCTCCTGCCACTAGAGGCACCAGAGGCTTTGCTGAGCTGTGCATGACTCATTCCTGACTATTACAAACTCCGTGTGTTGTGGTTGCTATAAAAAAATAATCTATGCATTTGTTTCCTTCTTACCAGGTCCTGCTCACTATCAATCACAGCCAGGGAGGCATTGAGTGCAGAGCACTGGCTCTGGCTGTAGGTCCAATTCCCTTCCATCTCTGAGAAATAGTAGCATTTTCCTTGGTACCCGATCCAGCTGTCTGGGCAGGAGGGGCCTGGACAGGAGACTGGATACGAGGCGGCAGGGGAAGGAGAACTGGTCACGTGGGATTTGGTTGCCAGCACTGAAAGTGAGAGAGTGAGAACAGTTAGATTCTCTCCTCCACTTCTGGACTGGGAAGCAGAATAAGCCCCAAATATTCAGGCTTTGTGGAAGGAAAGAGGTAGCCCATGGTTTCAACCACAGCTGGTCAGAAAATGGGTTTCCACCCCCTGGAGAAAACGCTGAATTTTGGGCGATCAAACTCTAAGATATTTTGATTTGGAAACGCTGCTGCAGTGTCTCATGGGAGTTGTAGTTTGGGTGCCTCATTTCCCCATTCTCTATATTCCAGGCTCCCTGGTCAGACTACATCTTCCATGATGCACCCCAGTCTCTCAACTTGGTGATGGGAAGTGTTGCATCACGGGAGTCCCTGGCTATAAAACATTATAGGGATGTAGTCCAGCTGGCAAACCCAGCCCATAAAGGAGAATGTTGCCAGGTGTCTGGTTAGTCCAGTTGAAAAGGGACCTGTGCAGTGTCCGGTCAGCACTGCTGACTGGACACCAAAAATACGGTTACTGCAGTAACCGTGATTGGTCTCTACCACCAGGAGGGTGGAGGAGGAGGGATCCTGCTGGAGGAGGAGGGATCCTGACCGTGCACAGTGCTTGAGGAGCGGGGCCAACAGCCAGGCTGGCTGCCTGTGATGGCCCATCCCACCTTCTCATCCCCCCAGGGCCCTGGCTCTCTCCGGCCCCTTGCTCAGGGACAGACTCGCCCCCCCCCATCCCGCTGTGCTCCAATTGAGCAAGCAAGCAGGTTTCGCATGAGCTTTCAGCTGAAAACTTTCTGGTTTTCCATCATTTGGTTTTGCAATGGGGGGGGGGGAGGAAATCAAGTTTTCTATAGGAAGCAGACACTCTTCATTAAAAATTTCACTTAGGCAAAACCCCATGAAATAGGCAGCATCTTTTAGCAGATTTCTGTAAGAAATCAGGCGCTGGTGGTTAGGAACAAACTTTCTATAATTCCCTACTGCAGAGTTTGTTACATCTTTCTTTGAAGTATCTAGCCATCTTCGGAGACTGGAGACAGGTGGACCTCGGGTCTGACCCAGTCTGATAACATTCCTAAAGCATTACAAGGTGCATTACATCTGCAAATGGACACAACAGTTGGGGGCGGAGATGAACTGGCTGTACATTAGGGGTTAGGTGGAGGATGGGGAACAGCCTCGTGGCCGTATACCCTACAGAAGCAAAGGGATAGGGGAAGATGTGTCTTAGCTAAAGCCTTTTTGAGAACTGCTGGAATGGGAGAGACTGGTCCTGTGATCAAGGCTCTGAGCTAGGACTTGGAAGCTCTGGGTTCAAATCCTCTCTCTGCCACTGACTCCCACAAGGGGGAGACTTGATTTTTCGGCTGCCTGACTTGAGATACCTCAGCAGGGTTGACTCCCACGGGCCCCATAGACTTCATGGTTGTGGTATCCAGCACCTTTAACGATCAGGCCCCTTTAAGTGGTCTCTAGTCAGCCAGCCAAACTAATACAATTAATCAGAGGCCACTTTTGAGAACTACGGCTCTAGTCTCTATGTCTCGGTTTCCCCACTTCTAAAATGGAGACGGTAATAATTTCCTGGCCTGGGGAAGGGCCGGGGGGACAGGACGAATGTCCCTGGTTAAATCCTTCACTCCCTGGGAGGCGCTCAGCTACTACCGTGCTGGGGCGGAGCAAAGCAGAACCTCCACAGCCAGAAGCCAGGAGGACAATGTGTGAGTTTGTAGCAATCCCAGCGCTCAGAGAACGTAAAGACTGGGGGAAGTAAAGGTGGCCACACACCTGCTAAAATGATGAGAATTATAGCCACAGTTATGACTGCGATTCCAGTTACGACTTTGAGACAAGTGGCCTTCCCACATGTACACACAGGAACTGAAAGAGAAAGAGCCATGAATCCCGAGGGCTGTTCTAGTGGAGGGACTAGCCAGTCACCAGACTTATTAGCCAACAAAACAAAAATAAAACCTGGCTGATTTGCAGTTAACCCTTAACGTTGAGAAAGGGGAACAAGAGTGAAAATTCGATACAGGCCACTCAGCTATCAATAGTAGAGCTGATCTGAAAATGGCTTTTTTAATCCCTTGGATAGTTGAAAAAAATAGAAAAAAAAAAGAAATTTTAATCAAACTTTTCCAAGGAAATTTTTGATTTTTCACTCCTCCCTCCCCACCCCCACCCCCCCAAAAAAATATCAACAGCAAAACTATTTTTATTTGGAAATACCATCATAGTGACTCATGGGTGTTGTAGTTCAAGCATCTCATGCTCCCATTTCTCTCTATAGGAGGTGCTCCCTGACCAGACTACAGCTCCCATGATGCATCAGGGTCTCCCTTCTTTGCAAGGGGAAGTTGTGCGTCAGGGAGTCTCTGGCTGTGGTGCATCATGGGAGATGTAGCCCAGATGCAGAGCCCAGCCCATAAAGAATGGGGACATGAGGTAACCAAACTATAACTCCCATGAGGCACTGTGGCAACATTTCCAAACGGAAATCTACTTCCAAAGGAAGCAGACATGTTTAGCACACACACAAAAAAAAAAAAAAGTTTGTTAAAAGACCCCGGTTTAGATGGAAAATTTTCCACAGAAAAATTTGATTCTTCATCAGAAAAACTGAATGCCTGAAAAAAGAATTATTTTGGTTTGGAAATGCTGCTGCAGCGTCTCATGGGAGCTGTAGTTAAAGCCTGGCCCATGCAGGAGAATGGGCGCATGGAAGCACTCGATCTCCCCTGACGCACCACCTCCCCTCTCCGAGAGGGGAGACCACAGTGCTTAATGGGAGATGTAGTTCAACCAGGCAGCTGGGCCTATACAGGGGAATGAGGGCATGAAGTACCCGAACTACAACTCCAACGAGGCACCATGGCAGAATTTCCAAATCAAAGCATGTTGGGTTTTGATTTTTTGCCTCCCACCCTATCCCCCCAAATAAAAGGTCTTCTGCTGGGGGGTGGAACCCAAAGAAACAAAAACACACACTCCACCTCCCTCCCACACACACACATTTTCCAAGGAGCTCTAGTGCTGAGGTCTTCTGAAAATCTGGCTGAGGACCACTGAAAATTCTGGCCTAAGCACTTCTCTACTCTTATTTTTCCAGGAAAGTAATTGCTGTAGTTACCACAAGGATGTTGTGGGATTGTGTTTGGGCCAGGGAAACTACAAGATACTCTCTCTATTAAGAGATGGTCCGTGCTCCAAGAGTGTGAGAGATGTCCCTGACTTATGACATCTCAACATTAACCCTGACTGGCGTAACAAGAAACATTTAACATTCAAATGAGGAACTCTCGTTTTGACATCGACGCACACAACGCTGCAGGTTATTGCCAGAGATAAGACACGCAACGCATGCAGCCATTGGCCTAAATACTTATGTTGTAATTTGGCTTACCCTCTTGGTCACGATACAGAATGCTTTCCTCTAGCTGGATGGGTGACTTGGTGCTTTGGGTCTCCGGCCAAATCAATTTTTCCCCTGCCAAGGTAAAGACAAGTCCCAAGTAGCAACAAATCACAGCAGAAGGAGACATGGACTCTAGACTTTTACGCCAGCTGAGGATCTGGCCTGAAATATCCAACACCCTTTCGTTCTGTGGTGTCTCTGTTCTGTCTCAGCTCTGTCTGGAATTCTTTTGGCTTACTTTGAAAGGTGCTGAGACGCTGCAAACTCCCACAATGATTCCTCACCCCGGTGAAAGTTGGACCCATCCCTGACACTCAGGAACCGATCCCGGCCGAGACCACGTTTCCTCCCCACCCCCAACAAAGAAAAAGAAGAGGCAGGGGGGACTGTCAAATTACCTGACTCCTGCTTCTCTAGGTCCAGATGTTGATGTTGAACGGCAATCGTCTCCATTTTTGCTCTCAGAACAGAACTGGCTGGGAACCAAAACGTCCGTGTCTCCTGACCAACTTTTCTGGGTCAGCTGTAACAATCACAGCTCTAGGTTCTTTCCTTTCAAAGGCTCCTCCAGTAGGTGGCAGTGTCTGACCAGTTCTTATATGCCAGGCTAAAACAGGATGGATTAAATTAAATTACAGTGACATTTCAGAATAGGTGAAAATCACTCAAACTGCCGGAAGTCAGCATACCAAGCAGATTGCCACAATGGCTCAGGAGAGTTTTGTGGCTGTATCTACGCTGTGAGCACTCCCTCGTGCATCTCATGTGTAATAAATAAGTCCCCCCTTTGAGCTACAGCTACAGCCCTTAGGGGGCATTTGGGAGAGCTCAGAAAACAGATAAGTAACTCCTCACTCAACAGTGTAGTTCTGTTCCTGAAAAATGCGACTTTATGCGAAACAATGTTAAGTGAATCCAATTTCCCCATAAGAATTAATGTAAATGGGGGGTTAGGTTCCAGGGAAATTTTTTTCACCAGACAAAAGACATTATATACATATACAGTATAAGTTTTAAGTATCAGGGGGTAGCCGTGTTAGTCTTTATCTACAAAAACAACAAGGAGTCTGGTGGCACCTTAAAGACTAACAGATTTATTTGGGCATAAGCTTTCGTGGGTAAAAACCTCACTTCTTCAGACGCAAGTATAAGTTTTAAACAATTTTAAACAGTTTAATATTGTACACAGCAATGAGGAGTGTAAAGCTTGGTTGAGGTGGTGGAGTCAGAAGGTGGGATATTTCCCAGGGAATGCCTTGCTGTTAAATGATGAACTAGCACTCGGCTGAGCCCTCAAGGATTAATACGCTGTTGTTAATGTGGCCTCACACTCTACAAGGCAGCATGGACTCAGGCAGGAAGGAGGAAACACAATAGATGCAGGGCAGTGACTGCAAACACTTCCCTGCAAAAACTGAGCATGATGATGAGCCCACGCTATCCAGCTGGACCGCACCGCTCCCTCCTCCTGACAGCACATGCACGGCTGCTGACTTTCCAAAGTGCTGCGGGGTGCATGCATGAGTGAAAGAGACATGCACTGCCCCTTTAAGTACGCTGACCCCACTTCAAGTACATTGCCCTTTTAAGCAGATCAGTCAGTTCAGACAGGAAGCAACAGCTTCCAGCAAGCTCCCCCTCCCCCCCCATTCTGTTCCCGAGCCCTGTCCCCTCCTCTGCTTTGTGGAGAGGGGGTACGGAGCAGGGGGACATCCTGACAGGCAGGAGCAGTACAGCAGTGGGGGGAGGGACAGCTGAACTGCTGCTGGACAGCTGCCAAGCCACATACCTTGGCTTACAGGAAATTTAGGGGAGCTGATATGTGCACCCCCAAGTTTCACCTCACTTAAAAGATACTTGCTTACAAAGTCAGACATAAACACACAAAAGTGTCACAGCCACTATTACCGACAAGTTGCTGACTCTCTCTTATTTACCATAGAAGTATAAAAAAAAATCAATTGGAATATAAATATTGTACTTACATTTCAGTGTGGAGTATACAGAGCAGTGTAAAAAAGTCATGGTCTGTATGAAATTTCAGTTTGTACTGACTTCGCTAGTGCTTTTTAATGTAGCCCAGTGGTCCCCAACGCGGTGCCCGTGGGCGCCATGGCGCCCGCCGGGGCATCTATGTGTGCCCGCGTACTGGCCGGCGGACGAGCATCCGCCGAAATGCTGCCGAGAAGCAGCTGCATCCAGAGGCGTCACCACCAAAATGCCACTGATTCTCGGTGGCCACACCTATTGATGTTGCCACCGCGCCTCCGCCGGCCATGGTCCTCCGTGGCTCGTCGTCCGGCGCACGGCAGATGAAAAAGGTTGGGGACCACTGATGTAGCCTGTTGTAAAAGCAGGCAAATGTCTAGATGAGTTGACGTACCCCTGGAAGACCTCTGCGTATCACACGTACCCCTGATTGAGAACCACTGCGTGTAGCTAATCCTCCTCTCCGAGAGGTGGTAGCTAGGTTGACTGAAGAATTCTTCCGTTGACCGAGCCATGTCTACACAGGGTTAGGCTGACATAACCACCTCACACAGGGTGTGAAATTTATCACAGCCCTGAGCAACGCAGCTAGGCCTGATCACTCTTAAGTGTAGACCAGGGCACAGTCTCAGTGCAAAAACTCCAAGTGATGACGAATTAAGGTGCTCACTCACCTGTGCACTAGCTGATCTTTTCCACACTGGAAGTAAAGGCCTTTTTGATCTTGCAACCTCTGTGAGGGAGCGCTGCCCCTGGGCGGCTGCTAGCTACCCATTTTGCTGTAATAGGTGAGGCCCCCACAGCACTTCCTTCCAGGGTCGCAGTGTATTGTCACAACTACCAAGGCTCTTGGATTTCCGTGCGCCGACTGCTCGCTTGTGATCAGGCCTGTTAGAGACAAGAGAGTGGTTGGCTGGAGCAGCTTTTGTTATCTGTGATTCGGTGCAAGCCCAATTTGGGGTAAGAAGTAAGGGAGGAATTAAGAGACATGCTGGATAAAAAACAGCCACGTTTTCAGCAGTGGCCTCTGATTTTGGGGTGTCCAATTTGAGACGCCATGGACGTCATTTCCGGAGGTGCTGGACATTCACAGGTCCCACTGATTTCCCTTGTGGGCGCTTATCACTTTCTGAAAATCAGGCCCCTTTAAGGCATCTCAAACTGGGCACTCACAGGTCAAAATATCAAAAGAATTTTGCATAACAAGTACTCCTGGGGGAATTCTGCCCCCCAAAATTAAAAATTCTGCGCACAATATTTTAAAATTCTACAATATTCTGCTTTATTTGTCAAAATAACACAATATAATCACACCAGTTTCAATTATTTCGGTCATTTATTTCAAAACATCTGTCAGCAAGTACAGCTGTAACAATACAGACCAAAAAAAAGATTCTGGTAATTTTTTTTGTTTGACAAATAGATTCCTTACCAGGCATATTAGCACAGAACTTTGAGTAATTTATTTAAATTACAGTACAGAAATGTATTTCCCACACCCGTCAGAAGCAGTGCAAAGGCTTGGGGGAGTCAGGGGTAATGAAGGAGCTGAGGGACAGGGAAGGAGCCTGGAGTGAGTGGGAGAAGTATGGAACATGGGTTTGTTTGGGGTGGGGTTTTTTGGGGGGAGGGGGGATTGTTAGAGAGTTGTGGAGCCTCCCTCATGCAGACCCTGGCCGACCCCAAGCCTCTGCCATTCAGTCAGGCACATCTTCCCCTGTCCTGGCATCCCCATCCCTATATGTCTCTGCAGCCTCCTCCCCAGTCCCCATGTGGCCCCACCCTCATTCAGCCATTGGCTCAGTGCTGTCACCCCACTAGCTCCTAACACTCACGGCCTGATCCACGGCGGCCCGCTCCTTGTTATCTCTTCTACACAGAGCGAAGTGGATATCCAACGGTACCACACCTGCCTGGGGGCCCTTTAGTCTCACTTTGCATTAAAATAACCCCCACCACGAAGCACAGGGCAAGAGAAACCAGGCCCAAGGAAATGAAGTGCTCAAACAACTAGTATATCCCCTTAAAAGCAAATTCCAGTATTGGTGACAGGTTTCAGTGGTAGCCCTGTTAGTCTGTTTCAGCAAAGAAAAAAAGAAGGAGTCCTTGTGGCACCTTAGAAACTAACACATTTATTTGGGCATGGACTCCTCGGGGTTGTTTTTTGTTTGTTTGTTTTTGTTTCCCCCTATTGGTGTTTCTCATGAAACAGAGGAAAAAATCCACAACCTTGCTCCTCAGACACTCACAAATTCCTTAATAGCGAGCTGACATTTATCAACACACCCACGTTCCCTCCCACAGCCCCCACCTTCCTCTGCTAACTTCCAAGTGGCTAGAGGCCCCTTCTCCGCCTAACCTGACACACAAATTTGCACTGGATTAACACAACCACTTCCATTAAACCAGTGTGAACGCCTGTGTTAACACCCTATTAACCTGTTCCCAAAGGAGCTGAGCTAAACCAGAAAAAAAAAATCTGCTTTTAAACCAAACTAAGAGCATTTGCAGGGGTTTAACAAGCTGTTTAAATTCACGCTGTCGGTGCCATTTTCCTTCACAAACAAGCCCTGAATCTAGGCAAGCCTGAAGTTTTGTTTCCTGTTTTAGCTCGCGGCCATTAACCACCACCAGAGTCAAACAACAAACGACTGGGGAGAGTCTGGACCCCGACCCCCCTTTGCAGATCTGTTGGCTTAGCTAATCTGAGTTGACTGGCAGTCAGCTAACAAGTTAAAAAGCCTATAAAGAAAACAAGGCCCGTGGGTGCTCAGAGCCACTCCGGTAACAGCTCCACACGTAGGGTGACCAGACAGCAAGTGTGAAAAATCGGGACAGAGGGGGGGGGGTAATAGGAGCCTATATAAGAAAAAGACCCAAAAATCGGGATAGTCCCTATAAAATCAGGACATCTGGTCACCCTACCCACACGCTGCCCCTCTCCATGCCCTAACAGCCCCACACCCCCCAGCCACCCTGGCTGTCTACGGAGCTCGCTCCCCCCTCTGGTCCCTCCCTAGGCTGATTGCCCCTTTCGCCCAAGCCCCTGTAACAGCAGAGCCACCACTTACCCCAACCCCTGCAGCAGCTCTACAGAAGTGAAACAAACACACAGGATGACGTACTTATGTCATCAGTGACTGCATGGGAAAAAAACAACTGATCTGCATAGCCCCACCCCTTATATCCCACCCCCACGGGTCACAACAGCCCAGATCTGGGGCCCTTCCTACCGCAACTGATCGTCTGTCTGAAAGGGGCGGGGGTATTGGTAAAAAATAGTCTGTCAGGGGTGTGAAAAATCCACACCACTGAGAGAAAACAGCTACACCAACCTAGCCCCTGTGTAGACAGCGCTGTTCTTCCATCGACCTAGCTATCGCCTCATGGGGAGGGATTGCCTACCCCAACTGGGGAACCCTCCCTTTGGCATAGGCAGCGTCTACACTGGCCTGCTGCCTGCAGAAAATGTGGGATCTGCGATCGGGGGATTTTCCCACTTGAGTGGGTCAGGTCCCTGCTATATCAGTGACCCTGCAGAGGAAGTGTTGCTGCTTCACTCAGTATTCAACAGAGCTGCTTGAAAAAATTAATGATCTCAGTTTGGAAATACATATGCATGTGCTTAATTTGTACTAGTGCAAGTAATTCCACTGATGTCCTAGGGGCTGTTCCCAGGAGTAAAGTTAAGCACGTGCATAAGTGCAGGATCTAAAAAGTGTTTTGAGGGGAAAAATATGTCAGAGACATTGTTTGCAATTTTTATTTTTTGACAAAATTTCATTTTGAAATTTTTCTTTTCTGTATGGTGGGGGGGAAGGTGTGTGGAATCATACACACTTTTAAAAAAAAATTCTTTTTTTCCAAGTTGCAAAAGAGCTTAAATGAAGTGAGAGAAAGTCGGGAGGAAAATCTACTCACTTTTTTTCCCACTGCCCTTAAAAAAATTCTTCCCTTTTTTTTTCCCGTCTAAAAAACAAAACAAAACAGAAAAAATGGGATTTCTCCTCCAATTTTGCAATGGGAAAACCAATTTTTTCTTAAATGTCATTAAAAACAAAAAAAGCTGAGAATGAATGTTTCGGTGAAGAACATCATCAAAACCCCATTTCTCATTTGAAAAAAAAATTCAACAGGGTCTAATTTGCAGGCCTTGATCTCGCAAATACGCAGCTTTGCTGTGGTGGCATTGAAACCAATGAGATCCCTGACCCGAGGAAATTGTGAATGTGAGTTAGCGTTTCCAGACTCCCAGCCTTACCTTCAGGGCCGGTGCGACCCATTAGGCGACCGGCACCGGAATTTGGGGGGGCGGTGACCACAGTGGCCGGATCTTCGGCCACGCCGGTTGGGGGCGGCATTTTGCCAGCGGGACCTTCTGCCGCCCCTGTTGGGGGCAGCATTTTGGGGGCAGGACCTTTCACCGCCTAGGGCGGCGGAGTAGCTGTCGGCGCTCCTGCTTACCTTGTACTTCCTGTGTGGCTGTTTTCAAATGCACAGTGACCCAGAGCTATGGCTAGAGAAGCAACCGCTGGGGGAGGAGCGTGGGTAAAACCAAACCCCAACCAAATACATAACAAATGTAATATTCACCCCTCCCCCACAGAGCAGAGCTAATGACAAAGCCCTCTGATTTCACACCGCACAACCCCCACACAGAAAGGGAAGCTGTGGAAGACAGCTAAAGCCACCGGATTCAGATCTGTGCATTTAGTCTGTGTGTATTATGGTAGCATCTAGAGCCCCCCACCAGGTATTGGGGAACCATGGCGCTGAGTGCTGCACGCACGTTGTATATAACAATAAGACCATCCCAGCCTACCGCTGCTCACAGCCCAGGGCCCTGATCCGGCAAAGACCTGTGCACGTGCTTAACGCTACTACCATGAGTAGTCCCATAAGATCTGGGCAGGGGGAGGTGCCTGCATTTGTGGGAGGTGCAGGTGGCAGGGGGAGTTCTCCATTAGAGGGCTTGAGGGGGCATCTGGGCAGGGGGTGTCTCCTCCATTGAGGGAGGGGGGACACAGGAAGGAGGGAGGTTCTGGTTCTCCACTGGGCAGGTGGGGCGAACAGGAATGTGGGCAGGGGGGCAGCCTCCTCTCTTGGACACTTATGCTCTGGGAGCCCCAACCTAGACCCCAGCATCACCCCCCCCCCATCCAGCACTAACTGCAGCATCAAGGCCCCAGCTCATCCCTCTGCAGCCAGCTGCTCTGTGCAGGACGGAGCACGTGCCGGCCTGGGGATGGGGTGGGGTCGCTCCCTTCTGCAGCTGCCGGCTGAGCACCGGGGACACGCAGAGGCTCATATCTTGGGGCAGGGGGGGAGGTGTCAGCCAACGGCATTGGGGCAGCACCGATGCCCATTGTGCAATCGCTACTCCGCAGCATTGCTCAGGGGGGATTTCCTGGCAGCGCCGCCCCTTGTGTCAGACGGTGGCGTTACTCCCACACCGCGGGTCTGGCCCGTTGTGCCTTACAAGAGGAAAAGCTAATCGTGGGATCTGTCTGCCTTGGGCAGCTGTTTAGCACTAAGCCCTGTGCTCTCTGGGCTCCGTACGGTCCCTGGGAGGAATCCCCTTCATGTGACAGTCCTTCTCGGGGGTTAAGCCCTGCGCTCCAGCACCTCCTGGAACCACACCTCTCTGAGCTTTCTGCATGCCTGTCTCTCGCCTGGGCCCCCTCCACTCGCTCTGCACCCCGGCGGCCTCCACCCACAGAGGGAACAATGCAAACCTTGTCTCTAGCCCGCAGTGACTCAGCCAGCGTAAAACCACAGGATTTATTGAATGCCTCAACCCAGCACACAAAGTTCTCAGGTCTTTTGGAGCTAGAAACGCCCGGCCCCGTCCATCTGGGTCTGTCCCACGGCCTGGTAGCTCAAGCTGCTCTTTGGCCCCAGTCCAGCAGCCCCCTCCTTCCAGCCGACCATCCTATATCATCACCTTCCCCAACAGCCCCTCCTCCGTCCTTTGTCTTCAGTCCCAGGCAAACAGGTCACCTGGGCCCTCTCTCTTCCATCAGCCTTTGTTCCCACCACTGGCCAGAACTGGCTGCCTTCCAAGATGGGATGGGCCTCCAATCACCAGTTGCTAGGGTACCCAATCTCCAGGCTGTTGTCCAGGGCGATTGCCAGGTGAAGTTACACCAGGGCCTTGGCAACAACAATCCCCCTCTCCCACCACCTCGTTAAACATGTAGCACACCGGGGAAACTGAGGCACACACAGCACTCATGCAGAACACTAAGAAAATCCCCCACTGTGTCACACTCCCCAAAGAGTTCACATGAGTTCCCGTGTGATTGTTGCTGCTTCAATATGTATGGGAGCAGTGGAGTGATCTAAACTAAGTATTTACGGCACCCGAGCTGGCTCCCTTCTAGCTGCGTTACATGGGGGCAGGGAGGGAAGGGAATGAGATGGCTGGCTTGTTAAAAGACTGCAGTATTGTAGAGATGGTTGGAAATTTATCTTTGATGTTTTTAAATGAAAAATGGCTTTTTGAAGGAAAGAAGAACTTTCGTTTGCTGTGAAGATTTCCAACCCCAAAAACCCAAACCCAAACATCTGGGTTTTTTTTTAAAATGAGAATGACTTTTTTTTTAATTTATCTGTAAAACTGACTTTTTCCGTCTTCTAAACTTTTTCAGGCTGGGATGCCCAAACTAAAACTCCCACGAAGAACCGTGGCAGCTCTAAATTGCACTAGTTCAGTGCAAACCATTCTAAATTGCCAGTTTTGGTTGGGCGTTTTCCTGGAGGTTTCAACACAGGACATAATCTTTAATTCAAGGTTAATCTTTAATTCCTGCAGCCTCCAGGACCATGCTGGAAGGTTGGGGACCCTCGTTCAGGCTTCAAGTTTTTCACCCAAAATTTGAAGTTTTCTGTGGGGAAAAAAACCTGCTTTTTTCTCTCCCGCCGCAGTGCTGAAGAGTTGGAAAATCTGCATGTAGTTTCAGTGGAAGACACACAACCCCCCTGGGAAAATAGCACCTCACACTCAACCCCAGCAACCATCCTCCCTGCAGCTGAAAGCCGCTGAACAAGGCTTGTGTTCAAAGCTTCTCCTGTTCAGTCCGTCAGCCACCGTCGAGCACTGGGGGAAGCTTTAGACGGCTTGGAGGGCTTGTTTTTTTCTAGCTCAAACAGAAACAGAAAACAATAAAACCCAGCTGGCACTTCCAAATCCCAAGCAGACAAGCCACTGCAGCTTCCTTAATTACCTGGCCAACCACCTCAGTAGACAGTCAGGTTAGGAAGTGAAATTGTGTGTGTGAAACCGTTAGACAGTAAAATCCTCTGACACAACGTCATGTTTAGCTATTTAAATACCTGTTGCGTTATCTGTATTGTGGTAGCACCTAGGAATCCCAGCCGTGGGCCAGCACCCCACTGTGCTAGGTGCTGCACAAACACAGACTATGAAGATGATCTCTACCCAAAAACCCCACAATCTAAGTAATGGCCCATAGAGAAGGCTTAGCTCCCACCCACAGTGAGAGACAGTCCCTGCCCCAGCTGAGATCAGAGCCCCGTTGTGCCGGGCGCTGCACAGACACACAGCGAGAGACAGTCCCTGCCCCAGCTGAGATCAGGGCCCCGTTGTGCCGGGCGCTGCACAGACACACAGCGAGAGACAGGCCCTGCCCCAGCTGAGATCAGGGCCCCATTGTGCAAGGCGCTGCACAGACACACGCGGGATACATCCACACTGGAGCTGGAAGATGTAATTGCCAGCTTGAGGAGACATACCCACTCTTGAGCGCTAAAAATAGAGAGTGTAGCCCTGGTGGTGGGAGGGGCTAATTGCCCAGAGTACAGTCCAGCCAAAGCCCTGGATAGGTACTTGAGTTGGATGGTCCCTCCTGCTGCCACAGCTACACTATTTTAGCATGGCAGCTCAATCGCAGCTAGTGTGGGTGGTATGTCTGCTCCAGCCAGAAATTACACCTTCCAGCTCCAGTGCAGACACACCCAGCCCCTGCTCTGCAGAGCTCATGGTCTAACCAGGCAAACTGTCCCTATTCCACAGATAGGGAAACTGAGGCACAGTGAGAGGCAGTGACAGGGAGTCTGTGGCAGAATGGGGAATTGAAGACAGATCACCTGAGTCTCAGCCCAGTGCATTAACAGCAAGACCAGCCTTCCTCAGTCTCCTCGATCTCCAATCCATGTCTCAGTCTCTTCTCCCTCCTTTCCCCATTCAGCCTTTTCTCCCCTGTACCCACCTTCTGTCAGTCACTTGCCCTGAAGCAACTTAATTGTTCCTCCCATCCCCTGCTTCAGGCTCAGGCCAGCCTTTGGCTGATGGGTTGAGACAAGACTCTCCCTGGGGGCAGGCTCTGTCTACATGGAAAGTTGTGCTGGGATAAGTGGAACTGGTCTGGTGAAACCTGGGGCCCAGAACAAACCCCTGGCTGGCTCTTACTTTGAATGGCAGGGTTTGTTTTTGGTTTAGCAGATATTTCCTAGAAGCAGGTTTAAACTAAACTGCAAAAGACTGCTCTTAAACCAGATTAAGCATGTCCAGACAATGACCAGGGAAATTGTACCAGTGTAATCACTGCCGGTGCACCATTGGCCCAAAGTGAATTCAGCTCAGCAGTCTGTAACTAGACTCCTAATGGAATCAAAATTAGCTCTGATATTCCACAGTGGAGAGATGAAAAAATGCAATTGATGTCTCACACCTTCAAAAGGGACCCATACCAACAAGTACAACTCTCTATCCGCAGCCTCTCTCCATTCACTGGGTTTTGGAAACCATGTCCCCTGTCTAGCGAGTGCTACTTAGTTGATGGCGCGTCCCTCTGTCATAAAACAGTTCCACTGTCCTTGATCCACATAATCAGGGTAACAAGACTTTATTCTTCCTACCCCAATAACAGAGAAACTGGGGATCCCACAGCAGCCCAAGTGACCATTTGGGCTGCTGTGGGCTGATGCTAGGCGAGTGGGTGTGCCTATGCAAATAATATCAGCCCCTGAAGTTCTTTTCCACAACTAGCCACAATTCACCACCAGATGTCAGGGTAGAGCTCATCCTGACTCTGCTTACATCTACAGCTGCCAAGTGGGGTCACACAGGCCCTATAGACAAGGCGTGTGTGTAGAACAGCCTCTCGCGACCTGGGCCCGTCCACGTGTCACTGGGACAGTGGCTTCTCTAAGGGCTAATGGTGCTCAGGCCCCACCAGTTCAGTCCCCTCCTTTTCGGCTTTAAACAACCTATCAAGGAGGGGATATAACTGCAGGGCCCCAAACTCCTTTATGGCTGCTGCTTCCATCTCCCCCCTTGGCCAGCAGCCCGGTGGGGTGAGCAGCAGGGGGGTGGCAGAGACATGGGAGAAGGCAAAGGTTTTAGCTCTGAAGTTTGAGCCCTCCCTTGACAGCACAGAGCAGAGCTGGCCATGTTCAGAAGCTGCCTCTCCCCAGAGTCTGAAGACCCTGAGTGCCCCAGCCTGGAAGCAGCATCAAGGGGCCAGCAGGGGGAAACTGAGGCAGAAGGGCCCAGACCCTTCTATCTCCTCAAGAGGTATTTAAGTGCTTAACTCCTACTGGGAGCCAGGCACCTAACTAGCTTTGAGGGTCTGGGCCTGAGTCATTGTCTGGTTCCTGCAAAGAGGGCTACGTAGGTGATTAAAGTGAAGCACAGGTGTCAGTCTTTGAAAGTTTGGGATCCTATGTTGCAGCTGAGCACTTAATAGAAAATAAAATACAAGCCCCTTTAAAAATCTCAGCGCTGCACGTTAGAGCGAGGGGTTGTTACCTCTCGGCTCTACAACTGCAGACTGCCACAGCCCTGCACAGATACAAAATTAATATCTGCATCCGATCTGCAAAAATATCGCACGGATATAAAGCGGATCTCTGCAGATTGGCAGCGCTCTACAGATCGCTAGTTCCGCTGTCTATTTGGATGGCGTCCTTCTGGCAAATCCATCTGTATTCACCGCTGCAGGTTTCCGACTGAATCTGACTCCCTTTGATCACCCCACAGCTGTTCTCTTCAGCAGATCCTTTCACGGGGAACCTGCCGGACCAAGGGAAGAGTCATTGGTTGCCCTCGTGGCACTCAAGGGGTCTTGTTAATGCAGGTCACTGACAGCAGAGCTGTTCTGTGTGTCTAGACCCAGACTGGTGTTGGTGAAACCTTGTCGCTAATTGTAACTGGAGCACAAAGGATCTGGAAATCACAAAGACAAACCTCATGGAGCCCTGGCACATTCTCATGGGGTGGATCTCCCCGTTCCAGCATCTTCTGACTGAGAATGGCGGCTGGGGGGGGGGGGAAGGGGAGGGTCACTCAAAGCTCTTCCCTGGGATGCTGCATCTCAACCTTCCTAAGACTTAGGGCCAAGGTGTAGCATCTTCAAATGGTGCCCAAGTGATTTAGGAGCCTACGTCCCATTGATGGTCAATGACACTAAATGCCCAAGTCACTTGGATGCTTTTGAAAATTGTGCCCTAGAGTTTCAAAAATGGGTTGAGTGATTTGGGGGCCCCAACATCAGACCCCTGTTTATCAGAGGGAGGGTGCTCAGCACCTACCGGCAACTGGGCCCTTTAGGCTGTCTCAGCCGGGCCCCCAAAATCACTCATCGCTTCTGAAAGTCTTGGCCTCAAATAATAAGGGACGCCCGCCCCCTGCCTTACATAACTCAGCAACCATCCAGAAAAGCAACTCACAGCGTCTGATTTAACAAGGATCCATCCACCCAGGTCCATTTCATCCCGGTCACGTTCGCACTGAGGCCAGTCCAGACGAGGTACTTCTCTTGAATGCTGTTCCCCAGGAACTCCTGTAAGTAGGAGAGAGGCACTTGTGGGAGAGAACCCGCTGGGACTCCCAGCTGCTTTGCAAGCGGATTTGTAACAGATTCACATTCTCCATGGATGAAGCACGGAGCAGGACACGTAACGACAATGGCCAGTGGGTTACGCTAGCACCTGATGTTCGATTGCTACCTGAGCACCAGGTTAAATTCTCAAATAGTATTTCCCGGAGCCCCCCCATGCCCCCTTCCTCCATTCGGGGCTCTGGGCTTCAGCCCCCCCGGGAGACACCGGGGCTTGAGACTTCAGCCCCAAGTTTGAAATATGTACAGGTCCTCCGCTCCGGACAGCTCTGAGGGGGTGTGAACTTCCCCATCCATCTCAATGGTACTGACAGATACCAAGGACGATACTTTCCATGTCAGCAGTTGATCACTATTTCGCTGCTCAAAGCGGCGAGGAAAGGAGAGGGGACAGGCATAGTATGGAGATCTGCACAGTCCACTCTGAGTCAGCTCACGCCAGTGCCCCCAGGGGTGGGAAGCGATCACGTGGAGGGTTTCCTCCCTTTCCAATCAAGAAAGAGCCAAATCCATGCAGCCCATGGACACATCCAACCCTGCTGCAGAGGAGCTGAGTCCAGAGCCCTCGCAAGCCATATCCGGCACAATCAGCATCTCATTTGGGTGCAGCCTGAGTGTGCCCCTCCCAGCTCATCTGCTTGGCTTTCCAGGGCTCAGTCACACCTAGGCTGACGAACTCAAAGCTGGGGGGGTTTTCAGTGCATTTCCATTGGGCATTTGACAGCACTTGGTGTATAGTCAGGTTCACCGTATCAACCTGTAGATCTCAGTTATTCAGTTTCCTGTGGCTGTTTAGAGCTTCTTTCCCCAGCAACAGGAGAGAGAAGCTTTAAATAAATAGATAGGAAAATGTGATCGGAAACCCACAAAAACAGGGACAGGAATTTCGGTGGGACTAGTCCTAGGATAAAACTAAGTGTGTGCACAAGTGTGTTTGCAGGGTCACGGGTTTAGCTTCTCTGCAACACATTAGGGACATAATCCAATAGAACAGTTGACAGACAGACAAGCGAGCGAGGACATTCCCAAACAGGTCAAAGCTGGGTTATTGCTTTTTTAAACAAAGACAATAAAATAAAGTGGAACTGCGAAAAGTGGCCTTGGGGTAATTTTATCATTTTAAAAATCAGCGTAAAAGGGATATTCATGGACACCCCCCATCTTTCCAGGTGAAGATTAACACACACACCCTGCCACCACCTGTTTCTCACTTTACCATCTCATCCTGCTCCTGGATCACCACCATGCGAGCGCTCCTCGCTGAGCAGTCCTCGTGGCTCCTGGCCCAGATTTTACTCTCTGTGGAAAACCAGTAGCATTTGGCACCATGTGGCAGCCAGTCCGGGGGACAGATTTTGCAGCCAGCGCCCTCTAGAGGAGACAAACAGGAGACACCATTAATGGCTGAATTAGGTGCTTCCACTGAGAGGCTGCCTGGTGCAGCAGCTTGGACAACAGACTGGCTCTCAGGAAATCTCTGTTCTGTTCTTGGCTGCGCCACAGACCCCCTGGGTGACCTTAGGTAAGTCATGTCCCATCCCTGTGCCTCAGTTCCCCCTTTCACTGGGTGCCTGATCCGTGTAGATTGCCAACTCTTTGGGGCAGGGACGGTCTGTGTGTCTGTGCAGCGCCTGGCACAATGGGGCCCTGATCTCAGCTTAGGGTGACCAGACAGCAAACATGAAAAATCGGGACAGGGGTGAGGGGGTAATAGGAGCCTATATAAGAAAAAGCCCCCAAAATCGGGATTGTCCCTATAAAATCGGGACATCTGGTCACCCTATCTCAGCTGGGGCAGGGACTGTCTTTCCCTGTGTGTCTGTGCAGCGCCCGGCACAACGGGGCCCTGATCTCAGCTGGGGCAGGGACTGTCTCTCCCTGAGTGTCTGTGCAGCGCCCGGCACAACAGGGCCCTGATCTCAGCTGGGGCAGGGACTGTCCCTCGCTGTGTGTCCGTGCAGCGCCCGGCACAATGGGGCCCTGATCTCAGCTGGGGCAGGGACTGTCCTTCGCTGTGTGTCCGTGCAGCGCCCGGCACAGCGAGGCCCTGATCTCAGCTGGGAGTGGAGTACTAGCAGGACTCCCTTGAGGACAGTGGAATTACACCAGGGATGACCGGCCCCTTTTCATTCTCCCCAGTGAAGCTATTAGCATTTGCACACCCTGTTCCACATGATCGGGCACACCACTGGCACCCGCCCTCACTAACACTATTACATGGTACCATGCACTCAGCTACGGGGCAGCTAGTAGGTGTCACTCAACCACTGCTTGAAAGTCTCTCTCCAGGGGCCTTTAAATGGAGTGGTCAATCCCAGAGCCAGAGAGGAGGAGCTGGGGTTACCCAGGGAGCTGCTGTTGATGGGCGCACACAGAGCCTGGCTCAGGCGTGACACTAGGTGGTTCAGACGGGCGCCGCATTCTGCCCCGTTTCCCTCTCCCCACTGGGCACCACGGCTCGCGGGGGCATTGGGCGCTGCTCCTGTCAGTCCTTCGTGAGATGAACCTTCAAAACAGCCATGAGACCTGCGGTTAGAGTTCTTGCCTGGCAACACCACAGTGAAAAATGAGCACCAAAGAACGAGGATCATGGGAGAAATCAAGGGGAGAAGAGAGAGAAAACTAATTCACTGGGAGGGGCCAGGCCAGGGAGTTGTGGGTTCTATCCCTGGCTCTGGGGGCGGGTGGATTAGAGCAGGGAAAGTTGGGTGTCAGGACTCTTGTGCTCTGGTGTTGTAGCTGACTCACGCTTTAGCCATGGGCACATCACCTCCCATCTATGGGCCTTAGCTTGGCCCTTCTGTAGCGCAGGAATTACGACAGTGCCCTGTACAGCCAGCATGCAAATGAGGGTAATTAACCACTGGAACCATCTGCCAAGGGGCGTGGTTGATTCTCCATCACTGACAATTTTATAAATCAAGATTGGATGTTTTTTCTAAGAGACCTGCTCTAGGAATTATGATGGGGCAGGTCTCTGGCCGGTGTTATCCAGGAGGTCAGACTAGACGGTCATAATGGTCCCTTCTGGCCTCGGAATCTATTAAAAGCCTCTGGGATGAGCTGCTGAGACATGGGGAAGTTTACAGGCTGTCCACAAAACAAACAGGATCTAGACGCTCACCCAGAATGCTCAGCGCGATCACAGCCAGCGTCGCCACAATGCTCCAGACCCCCAAAACGCCAATGGTGATTTTATACCCTCGCAGGTTCGCAGGAGAATCTGTGAATTCGGATTTGTCAGTCAGCCTCAGTGTCTCCTGGGCTGCGTGACAAGCATCAGCATAACCTTTCATAGACCCATCATTATGGGTGAAAGGAGGAGGCCAGGAGGTGCTCTGCATCTGCTCTCCATCTCAAACACTCCTCAGCAGAGGTGGGTCACAGCGGTCAGAGCCCAGGGCCAAGATCTTAACATAAGAACAGCCACACTGGGTCAGACCAAAGGTCCATCTAGCCCAGTGTCCTGTCTTCCGACAGTGGCCAATGCCAAGTGCCCCAGAAGTGTCACCAGCTGGAACCTAAAATCCCTAATTAATTTGGGATATTAACTTGTGAAGGCCAAAACTATAACAGGATTCAAAAATAACTAGATAAGTTCATGGAGGACAGGTCCATTAATGGCTATTAGCCAGGATGGACAGGGATGGTGTCCCTAGCCTCTGTTTGACAGAAGCTGGGAATGGGCGACAGGGAATGGATCACTTGATGATTGTCTTGTTCTGTTTATTCCCTCTGGGGCACCTGGCACTGGCCACTCTCGGAGGACAGGATACTGGGCTAGATGGACCTTTGGTCTGACCCAGTGTGGCCGCTCTTACGTTCTAGAAACAGACGGCTCCTGCCCTGAAGTGATTACAGTCTCAGAAGAGACAACACGTGGATCCAAACGGGGAAGCAGAAGGAAACAATTAGATTCTGCTGATCAACATGATACGGTGCAGTCACAGCATTTTGCTTTTCACTTCTCTTCTGTCCCCTTGGGAGCTCTCCTGCTGCAGGACAATTTTACTCTGCATTTTGGCCAAGATTTCTCAAAGTAACTGGTGATTTCTCCCTCCCCTCCCAATTTGAGACCACTTAAAGGAGCCCTGATTTGGGGAAATCACTGAGCACCTGCCCTCTAGAACCCTTGTGGTGTCCCGAGTTGGTTCCCCAAAGCAGCCACCTCTTTGTCCGCCATGCAAACGCTAACCGCCAGCCCGGTTCACAGAACTCCCGCTGCAGGGAATGGGGCATTTCAGTCTGGCTTTCTGCGATGCACGGCTGGAAGGGGAGTTAGTTACAGCATTGGAACAGCAGGCTGTGGGAGTGAGGGAAGGGAGAGTTGGAGACACAAACGAAAGGTGGGCAACCAACTCCCCAGGGTTTTCCATGGGCGTTAGAAGCCTGACTGCCCGGGTTGACTTTGAAAATCTCACCACAGCTGGTAGAGAGAGAACAAAGCGAGACAGGAAATGGAGGCGAGAAACGTTTATTAGATGAAATCTAACAGGACACTAAGCATCCGAGGTAGGTCACTACAGAGTCAGAGGCAGGACAGAGACACAAGATGTGGTGTTGCATGTGTTGTTATCCATATTACAGTAATGCCTGGAGACTCCAGCTGAGACCTCGCTGTTCACAGACAAAGGGCAGATGGTTCCCTGTCAGTAACAGGGAGATTATCAAGGCCCAAAGAGATGCACGGACTTGGTCAGGGTCACAGAGTCTGGGGCAGAACTAGGAACTGGACCCAGATCTCCTGGGTCCCAGCCCAGTGCATTAACCATGCGTGCAGCCTGCCCCTCCTCTCTTAGCCCTACTGCTAGGTCGTGACAGTAGAATGTCAGACATGGCCCAAATTGCATTCGAAACACCGCCAACGACCTTTTGCTACAACCCACGCCTGCAGGTCAGCGAGAACCTCACTCCACTTAGTCACCGTATGATCCGGGGCCTGGACAGGGTGAAGCCAGAAATAGCACCAGGCCCTTCCCTAGAGTAAAGGCTGACTCGCCCGGGGCCATTAGAATACAGCATCGATACAGCCAGTGCCTGCCACACTGGGCCCCTCCAGCCCTGCTTGCATTGAAGCAGCGTGTTCAGGGCCCAAACCATGGACAGCAATAACCCTCCACTGGCTGCTGGGTTATTCACATTATTAAATACCGTTCTTACTGCGGCAGGACCTACAGGTGAGCCTAGCGGGCCCCGTTGGGCTGGGCGAGGCACAAAGACGTCAGTGATCCCTGCCCCACACAGCTCATCGGCTCAGCTAGAATTCTAACTGCATACAAACTACGCAGGAAATACAGCCAAGCTCTCCGGGTCCTGGCTCTGACGGGAGTGCAGGGGCTGTGCCTTGCAGAGACCAGCAGAGTGGGAATGGTTCAGGGGTAAGGGGCTGTCCAATAACCACCATACGTGCACATGGCTGTCCAGAGTTGAGCACGGACCTGCTCCAGCACAGAGGCTCTGGATGCCCATCACACACACTCTGTCCCCCACTTCGCCGTTCTCCATCACCCCCATATGAACATCCCAGTAGCTAGAACACACTTTTTAAGTACCTCCCACACTATCGAAGCATCTCATGGTCTTTATTGTATTTGTCCTCCCAACCCTCATGAGGCAGGACAGTGCTTTTATCCCCATGTCACAGATGGGGAAACTGAGGCCCGGAGCAATGAAGGGATTTGTCCCCAGGGTCACACAAGAAGTTCTTGGCAGAGCAAAGATTCGAACCCAGGTCTCCCGCATCCCAGGCCACAGCCTGAAACACAACATGAAGTTGTCCCCTGCCTGCTTCCCATCCATCCTCTCTCAGACCCCACTGAAAGCACAAGCCGGAATTACTGTGACAGATGAGACTTTGGAGCGATACCTTGGATCCCGTCCGCAGACGGGCGGCTGGCGGTTCCCATCTTGGGCCGGAGATTCAATACCATGTAACCCTCTTCGTCCTGCATCCTCCAGAGTCGCTGCCTTCGTCTCCCAGCAAACAAGAAGGAGCGGGGAAATCAGAGAGACCCCGAGGGACGGGGGTGAGACTCGGACTGCTCGGCTTGTGGGGCTCCAGTGTTCAGAGGAAACGGCCGCCTCCCCTGGCCGCACGCTTCGAAACCACACAGGAAACGTAACAACTCGCACAGCAAGCTAGCGAGGGCACAAAACACGGGCCTTGTGTCCTATGCAAAACGCAGCCTCAAAGCTCTTCCGCTGCCTAAAGGCGCCGATTCCCGGCTTGTTCCCGCGGCCGGCCCGTCGCCGCAGTGGGATACGGCCAGTGGGAGGATGAAGCACCAGACCCAAAATCCAGAAGCCAGGCCCCTGGGTGCTTGGCAGGTGGGAGGACTCTGGCACTCTCTGGAGAACCTGGCTTGTGACCTCCCCGTTCAAGGCTGATGGCCTAGTGACAACTCGTGCAGCCCCAAATGAGCAGGGAGGGGATCTACACTACAGCTCTGCTCTCCCGCCATCAGGGAGCCGAGCCCCAATTCGCCCCGACGAGAAGTGGGTGCAACAGGCACTGGGGGAGAAGTTCTCTTCCTCTCCAGCTTGGGGGGAGTCCCGAAGGTCATCCCTCTGCAGGCTAGACAGCTACACCCCTAAGGGGTGGTTTGCTCGTTGTTGGTCCCAGCGACGCCCGCGATTCTCACTCGTGGCTCCAAGTACCTGCTTGTGTTCACCGCAGCACCATGGCTCAGGCCTTGCCTGGTGGGCTAACCCCAGCGAGAGGAGCGAGCGCCAGCAACTGCCAGACAAGGGCACGTCCGTCCCTCCAATTGCCCGTCAGGGAGCTGGGGGATGAACCCATGGTGAATATTAGGCCATGGAGGCCAAACGAAGCTGGAAAGGGCGGCACTGGGCCCCCTGAGCATGGTCGCGCTGATGGAGAGGAATCAAAGATTGAGCCTTTTACCCCACCCCACCAGGACAGGAAGCTGAGAGCCTGGAGCTAATCAGTCGCTGTAATCTCTGCAGCGCACAAGGGGACCAGAGGGGCTGTTCGTGGGGCCTATTTCCTCACATCCTGCCTCGAACCAGAATGCGGCACTTTCTAGGTCAGGCTGAAAGGTGACGGCCCAGGCAGCCCGGCTCCTGCCTCAAACACTGACCCCTGAGCGAATGGAAACAGCCGTGGGCGAGAAAGGGCTGATCTGAGAGGCTCGCAGAAGCCATGTGAAAACACCAGCGCTCAGGCACCGTGGGGCTTGCTGGCCAGAAGCCACTTCCTGTAGGTCAGCATCACACTCCTGCCTTTGCAGACGTGTGCAAAGGTGTGCAAAGCAGGTCTCTGATTGGCTAGATCTCTCCTTCTTAATCTTTGAATCTACAGGACTGGACACTGAAAGCACCAGATATTAGACCACGTGGCTGTGATAACTCCTAGTCATGGTGCATTCACCAGGGAAATCCTCCCATTGGAGCAAAGCCCACAGCCATGGCCAAAACTCCACCAGAATATTTTTTTAAATAAAAAAAAATTGTTTTGGACAAAAATAAAAGTTTTCCAGTTTTGGAAACTGAACGTTTTGCGGTCTCCCTCCCACCCCAACTTCCTTTGCTTTTGCCACTGAAAAAGGGCCGGGGGGAGGGGGGGGGGAAGAGAGAACAAAGGGGAAAATCCAAACACATTTTGGTTTGGTCCTTGTAAGTTTCCATAACACGTTTACCATATTTCCACCAGCTGTGGGGAGAGCGCTCCCTGGCCGGGGGCGGCTGGAGAACCTCCGTACCAGTTGAGTCCATGGAACGTCGATCCTTGCTTTGGTGACTACTAAGTCTGGGGTTGGGGTATGATTTTGAGAAGCACAAACTGCAGTGGAAAGGCAGGAAGACTGGGGCACCTAACTCACCTCCAGTTGGCCCAGTCATAGGTGGGAGAGCAGGGGGCCACCGCTGGGTTCAGATGAGAAGGAAAGAGGGTGAACTCTAGGTTACTGAGCTGAGGGTGTGAAAAAGGAAGCAACTGCCCCCCCAGCCAGGCCAGGGCGGCTGGAAAAATTTGTACAGTGAGGGGTTTAGAGCCATTGAATCAAACCATAAACCCTGTATACGATAGAAACCACTTCAAGCCAGGCGGTGTGGCAGTTAGTTCAAAAAAGAACTAACTAAGTTCATGGAGGACAGGTCCATCAATGGCTATTAGCCAGGATGGGCAGGGATGGTGTCCCTACCTCTGTTTGCCAGAAGCAGGGAATGGGCGACAGGGGATGGATCACTTGGTGTTTACCTGTTCTGTTCATTCCCTCTGGGGCACCTGGCATTGACCACTGTCAGAAGACAGGATACTGGGCTAGATGGACCTTTGGTCTGACCCAGTATGGCCGTTCTTATGCCCCCCCAACATCCCAAGGTTGTGCAATACTAGGAAACAGGCATACTGGTTTCTCCACTGGTTGGCTTAACCCACGCTACTCACTCCTAAATTTAAGAAGCTGGTAACCTAATCCCAAATTCTACCTTCACTCACCTCAACAAGACAAAGGCTGGCGTGCGTGCAGGCCTGCGCATGTGGTCTTGACTAAATACTTTTCTCCATTTTGATCTGTGCAGCTCACCAAAGGTTTAGAGTCTAGTAGGTTGTCTCAGTTAGGAGACATTGGTGAGAAGCCACTATTTAGTTGAGGCAGGTTTGTTTATTTACAAAGACCATACAAAGGACCCGTTTCCCTCGACCCAGAAGAAAACAGGTAATAGGAAACCGCTTATTTTGATCACAGCACCAAGAACACATTTTTCAGCCTGCACGTCTGACCCCAAAATCTCACCCCGGGCTCAGACGCCGTGCGTTCAGCTGTTCCTTCCAGCTGTCGGTGTAGCTCTGTAGTTCTGTGTTCTGTACCCACCCCTCCAAAAATTGGCAAAACCCTGCCACCCATTCAGTACGAAAGTCTCAGATAGGCTTACATACCCTGTGTGTGGGCAGGGGGCTTGCAATTACAGTGAAACCCCGCTATACCGCCATGTTTGGGGTCCAAAAAATTACATCGTGCTAAATGCGAGGTCGCGGTATAGTGGGGTTTCAAGCCCATCAGTGGTCCCCAAGGCAGTGCATTAATGTGCGCCGCCTAGTGCCCAGTGCCCAGCAGGGGAGAGCTGCGGCCCCGCGCCTGCCAGGGACAGTGAGCACCGGTGCCCGCAGCCCTGTTGTTCTCTGTCCCTGCAGGCGCGGGGCCACGGCTCCTATCCGGCTTGCAGAGAAGCCGCGGCCCTATGCCTGCCGGGACCGAGAGCTCCAGGGCTGCGGGTTCCTCCCCACCCACAGTTCCACCCCTTTCTCCTCTTTCCCTGGGGTGCCACTCAGGGTCCCCCCCATTCCACCCCCCCCCACTGCAGCTCCTCAACCCGTTTCGTACCTTATGTGCTCCCCACCCCCCACTGCGACCCCAAGACCGGAAATGCCCAGTCCCCCCATCACAGCCTGAGGCCGCAGTAGGGAGTGCCCCCCCAAACCCCAAGCTGTGAGGCTGCCTCCCGGGGCCGCAGTAGGGGGGGCGGTCCCAGTGCTCGGGCTTCCCCCGCCACCCCCTGCGCTTCTGCCGGGGATGGGTTGGAGTGCTGGGGGCTTCCCCTGCCCCCTCCCCACCTTCTGCTGGGGACACCGTCAGGGAGGCGCAGGGGGCCGCCAGTTGACCACTGCCCCTGGGTGCTTCGGCGGCGCTCTGGCCGCTTTTTTTCTTTTTTGCGCTTCAGCGGTGCTCAGGCCCCCCCCCCCATTTTCTTTTTTTGGGGGAGCAGCCGGAGCCACCTTATGACCGTGTTACATCTGAATTCGCGTTATCGCGGGGCGCGTTATACCGGGGTTTCCCTGTACCTTATTCTGACAGTTATGTTAATTGAAAGGTGCATTCATGCCCGTCAGTCTCTATGAGGTTGGGGCAACCATCAACACCTCTCAGCATAAAACTACGATTCAGGCATCATTAATCTTAACACTACCATTACGTTACCTTGCAATACAAGTCCACCTCCAATGCTCATACTTCATTTACAGCATAGTATAAAGACTGTGCAAAAAAGAGCGTCCAAAAACAAATATGGCTCAGTGCTAAATAGCATAATTAAGGAAATCACAGTTTACAAAGATCTAGAAACAAACGGAAGAGGAGTCCGTGGCTCAGCAGTAAGACAGTCGAGACAAAGCGAGCCTGTCTCTATGCAACACTCAATGACAGTGTTTATGATGGGTATAAACAGATACCACGTCTGGAGAGTTTGCACCTGCCGCAGTCGGTGCCTGGAATGATTCTGGCTTTCTAGGAAAGTCTGGCGGTCACAGCAGACATAGTGCAGGCGAGAAGGGGTCTGTCCGAAGGACGCTCCAAGTTGTACATGAGACTCATGACGAAGTGGGTTCCACCCCCACGAAAGCTGATGCCCAAATACATTTGTTAGTCTTTAAGGTGCCACCGGACTCCTCGTTGTTTTTGCTGAAACAGACTAACACGGCTTCCCCGCTGAAACTAGAGAGACTAAGACGCCTCCGCTTTGCTACTTATTTGGAAGTTGCTACCAAGCTGTCTCCCCATAGGGGGTGTAACCATTCACTGTTAACATCCCTCTTGCTGTCTGTGCCACTGTGTAACCGTCAGGTATGTTCTTTACGCTCATCCATTCACTGTCCCTTTGGAGACACACAGATAGCTCGGAGGGGGAGCAGGGAGAACGCACTGCATTCACTCGCTGCATCAGATCTCAGAGGCTAATGCCCCGTCCTTAACTAGTCCATTCATGGCTGCTGGATCAGCCCTCGCTCGGCCCTTTGTACCTCGTGCCCGGCTTCCTTTCTGCAATTCCTGCCTTCGTTCTCCTGGCACGCCAGCGTCACCCGCTTCCTGCCAATCTCCCCTGGAAGCTCACCACTGCGCAGCCCGCACTGGTAGGCGCGCTCGAGCCCTTCAATCCCGTATAAATAAAAATAACGCTCCCACAACAGAACCATCCTCTGGGCCACTCGGTGCACTTCAGGTTGGTCTCAGATCGTCAGCAGCACGAGACGAGACCTGCTTTCTGCAGCAGCTGGTAACGTGCAGAGGTAGGATATCAAACGGTTGCATGGTTATCCAGAACCACCTCTCAGCTTCTGGTTAATCCCAAAACAGAATGTCTGAGGTTTCGAGGTCACAAGGAACATCATGACCATCTGGCCTGACCTGCAGAACACAGCCCAGAGAAACTCACTCAGTGGTTCCTGCGCTGGGCCCAGTAACTTAGGCTCTAGTTCAACTAGATCAATTGGAAAACTAGGATACATCTCCCCGCTCCCCTCAGCAGTGGAGGGGCTGGTACGACCCATGGTATCGTCTCGGGTCATTCTTGAGCAGGGATTGCTGCCCTGCAAGACATTCCTAGGCCTGAGAGAGACTAAGGGCACATCTGCACTACAAACGTAAGTCGACCTATGTTGGCCCCTGGCTGAAGAACAAGGCACATCCCGTCAGTCAGTGCCTACAGCAGGCCAGAGCACTGGTGCACGGATGCTGCTTCTGGCCTAGTGTAACGCTGTCAGCGGCTGTAAGCTCTTGAGCTCAATGCGTGAGCTAAAAGACACAGCGCTCTTAGCTACGGCTGTAGCAGGCTCGTCAACCCTAGCTGAGCTAGCCACCACTTGAAGGGTGCAGAGCGCCACGGCTAGGAGCAGGGAGCCCTCCCACTTGCCTCCCTGGCTAGGAGCCAGATACAGGTTCACAGCAGGGAGGCTACCAGCCTTTGTCAATTTCATGGCTCCCTGCCAGAGCTATGAAATTGACAAGAATGAAAGCTGAAAGCGGATATAAGTAACGCCGTGTCTACATGGGCACTGCATCGCTAACTTAGTGGTTCTCAACTTATTTATCATTGTGGGCCGCATGTGTTACCTGGGCTGCAGGGGCCAGGTGGCAGGGCAGGGAGCCTGGACCCTGACCCCAGAGCTTGCAGGGCTGGGCGGCGGCCACGGACCCCACTGCACCAGGCAGCCAGGAACCCAGACCCTGCCACGCGGGCCAGCCTTTAGCACACAGCTGATCTGGGCTGCAGCTGTGTGCAACCTGGGCCACACGCGGCCCACGGGTTGAGAACCGCTGCTCCAGCTACACGGACATACGCTATGCGTCTCTCGTCGAGGTGAAGTTATGTCAGTGCAGTAGGTCGGGCACTTACACTGGTGGGAGCAAGGCTGTAGTGTGTACACACCGGGCGGCTTTATTATAGCTGGAAGTGCTGGTTGTGGAAGTGATGGCTGGTGGCAGGTCTGTGGCTTTGGAGTGGCTCAACAGGAAGATGAGATCAAATCTGCCCCCTGAAAGGTGGCCCAGGGCTGGGTCCTTATTTGCCTGCCCTGGTGTCCAGACGTACCAGAGGAAGAGGCCTCAGGTGAGAACCAGCTGGCTTAGGAACCGTAGTTCATCCAGTCCAGTCTCCTGTCTGAAGCACAGAGCAAAGGGCAGGACACCCAATGGCCAGTTACGAGATCACTCGCCCACAGGGGAAAGTTTACTCCCAAGGACAGGGAGCTTATGCCCTGAAGTAGGAGGGTCTGGCCCATCTCAGATGCTTTTTGGTTTAGTCCTCGCTAGCCTAGCTGTGAACGCTCTCATTAGCCAGAAAAATGTCCGAGCCCGCCAGCATCAACAATGTCCTGTCTCTTCCAGGCTGAGCCTTCAGCCCCTGCCCAGTGCCGTGCTAAACCTTTGCACACACGTGGGGTTTGCTGCAGATCCAGTGTCTCTCCATCGAGCACCGCGAGGAGCTGATGGCTTTTGCTTCCTTCAGATACGCGCACTTCCCTCCCCCGCCGATGTGAAACCTGCAGGGAAGGAGCAAAGGGATTGTCAGCAGAGGGTTCCCAGTCACCCAGCAGGGTCACAGCACATAGAAACCCACAGACAGTCACACCGCACGCCAAGGGAGGTAACCGGGATTACCCCCATACCACAGATGGGGAAGTGGAGGCACAGAGATGAAGGGACCTGTCCCGGGCAGCACAGCAGTTAGTGACAAAGCTGGGATCAGACCCCAGGTCTCCCTATTCCCCGTCCCCTGCTCTAGCCACTGGGCCACGCTGGCTCTAAGGGGAGGCTCCTTCAATCACAAAGTGATTATTCACCTGCACTTTGGTCTGGGGGAAGATCAGAGCAGCCCTCCCACCACAGACCCGGCAGTGGCTGGTGAGTGACACGTCTAACCTGTTCCTGACTCCTGGTGATTAGCATCAGGGCAGCTGTATCTGGGTTAGCTCCCCCCAGCAGCACATACATGAGTGTTCAGGACAGATGGACACACACGGAAGCAGACAGACGGAGGCAGCAGCAGTTCCTCCAGCAGGGGTCAGCCAGACACAGCCACCAGCTTTCCTCCCGCCCCGGGCAGAGTCGGGTCAGCGCCAGCTCCCCCAGCGCCGCAGAGCGTAGCTGCGAGCCGGCCGACGCTGTCACGGGGGACCAGAGAGAGCGGCAGGAAAGGCAGAGCCCAGGGCAGAGAAGTCGCCCCAGCACATGGGGAGCTGCTGGCGAGGGTACTGTTTGGGATGGGGTTGGGGAAGGAGACAGACAGCGAGAGCACTGAGCACTGCACAGATGCAGAGTGGCTGGAGATTCACACCCCTCCGGCTAGGGAGGAGGGCTCTGCCTGCCCCGCAAAAGTGGCTAAGACCCACGGCAGGAGACCGGTGCAGAGGGAACCAACCCCTCCCAGCCCCATGGCAGGAGCGGAGATCCCTCAAGGCAGAGAGGAATCGGCACTATGCAGGCCTGGGATCGGAGAGCCCAGATCCCCCATCGCTCCCCTATGCTTCCCACAGGAGGTAGTGCTGGGGGTGGACACAGACATGGGGAGCACATTGATGTCACTCTGTCATACAAGACTCAGGTTTCCCTTTGTCGGCGAGGAGTCCTGGCTCGGTGAGAGTCCAGGACGTCAGGCGCCCGCGACCAGATACTCAGGGAGAGGTGAGAACTCACCAGTTGTTGAATTCGGTGCCGTTCACCCACCTCCAGGGCCGGAGGTCCTGTTCCCTCTGGAGGCCGAACCAGTGATCACGGGGGTCTCTGTAGCGCAGCATGAAGTCCTTTAACAAGAGCAGCAGGAAACCGTTCATGTCATGCCTGACAGAGCGCCCAGCAAGATGGGTTTGAGTCTATGGGCTGATAGACAGGGCAGGGGTAGCCCCGTCCCCCAATCCAGTAAATGTGTCCCATGCAGCGTCTGCCACCAGCTGCCACCAGCACGTGTTTTGCAAGAGATTATTCTAGTGTGACATGATCTGGGGACCCTGTCGGGCGGGTGCTCAGCCCCCCGTGATAATCAGCCCCCTTAGGGAGGGTCTCACTTGGGCTCCCACGTCACGTCAGAAAGACCTGGACACATTGAACAGGTCCCAGCCTAAGAGCCACAGGACGCCGGGTGCTCCAGGGATGAGAGGCCCAGGGGAAGCAGCAGGGGTGGGGCTCAGGGAATCAGTAGGGCAGGAAGCTGTGACAGCTCAGGCCAGAGGGCGTGGATAGGGAGGAGATCTCCGCAGATGGGGACCGGGGAGAGTGGAGGGGAAGGGACTGCAGTAGCCATGGCTGGAGGGGATGGGATGGGGAGGAGATCTCAAAGGACGGGAACCAGGGCCGGGAGGGGGGGAGAGGGAGAGAAGAGACAGGGAAGCCGTGTCTGAGATGGGTTGAGTCTCACGAGTTGCTGCTGAGAGTCTGGAAGCCGGACGCCCTCAGAACAGGCGCAGTTGGAACCGCTGAACCCCCTCGGGGAATCGCTGAGCTGCCCAGCCCTTCCAGCAGCCCTTGGGGCGGAGGGGACGTGGTGCCCAGAGGTCAGCCCTGGTTCGCCAAGGCAGGTGTCAGGCTGCAGCCTGGCAGCGTCTCACTGTCGGAGGTGGGGGAGGAGCTGAGTTTGGGGAATGGAGGCAGAAGGGCAGCCCGTCGCGAGGAGGGAGCTGGAGCAGAGCCGGCTGTGCCCTGGGAAGTGGGACGTCTGCCTGGGACAGGGACGGTTAGATCGGCACCGGGCTGGGACCCAGCCTGGTCTCCCGTCATGCCAGCTCCCACCCCACCCCCAGGGTCTGAGCCCTGGCACCGTTCCAGCACCAGCCACCAGGCCACGCCCGGCCCGTTACTGCTCCACAAACTCACCATGTCCTGCTGGGTGTCGATCCCAGCCAGGGAGGCGCCGAGGGAGGAGCAGTTGCTCCGGCTGTAGGTCCAGTTCCCTTCGGTCTCTGAGAAATAGTAACATTTCCCTTGGAACACGACCCAGCCATTGGGACAGGCAGTCTCTCCTCGTACCCCCAAATCAGCCACATGTGACTCAGATGTTGTCACTGGAGGGGAGAGAGTAAGAGGGTGAGTCTGTCCCTGGCCCCTTCCCTGGCCCCCAGGGGAGCAGCCCCTCAGGCAAAGAAACCCCCAGCCTGAGTAGAGCCGGGACCCCACACCAGAGCCAGTGATTCTGAGCCTGAGATAGATCCCGCCCCCCGCCCTGATTGGCATAGCGGGGACATGCACTGACCCGCCGTACGGACTGGGAGGCGGGACTCCTGGGTTCTGATCCCCCCCACCCTGCAGTCCTAGCCCCATGCGACCCCCTCTGTAAGAAAGGGAATTGCCTGCCACCCCTGGGGCTGAGCGAGGTGATGGCCGGACAGCGCTCAGAGAGTTCACTGAGCAACGGGGAATTCACTTGGGTCAGTCCCATCATCTCACTTTATCCCGGGGGGCCTGGCAATACAGTAGGGGAGGGGCTGGCTCCAGGTCACAGGGAGTCAGTGGTCGAGCTGCGATTCGAACCCGAGTCCTGGCCAGTCCTTCGCTCACACCGCACCCCTCCCGAGTGCAGGGGGCTCACACAGGTGTCGGTTACGGCGCTTCTGTAAGATGAATTTCAGGGGCGCGCTCAGCCCGTGGCACTAACTGGACTCAGGGGCGGGAACCTGAGCACCTCAGCCATGGGAAGCTGCTTCTGTGCTGTGAGTGGTTAGATCCACCGGAAAAACATATCCGGCCAGGGCAGTGACGGGCCGGGGCACAATCTCCAGGCACTTGGCACACAAATCCAGCAGTTATGCTGGGGCTGGCTCTGCAGCGGTTTGCCCCAGACGGCCGGGACCGGGCACACACAGGCGCTGCCGTCACTTGTATAGGCCAAACCCAGGCACCCCCGTGATGGATGCAGCGTAGATGCCTAGACAGAGGCATGACCTCCTGGCTCACGCTTCCTATTTGTAGGCCTTTCAGCATGCGCACACCCACCATAGCAGCACCCGAGTTCCCCACAAGCATGGGTTGATTTTAGTCTCACATTTCCCCCCCGCCCTGTGAGGCAGGGAAGTGTAACTAACCCCATTTTACTAAGGGGAAACTGAGGCACCACGCAGGGAAGCATTCTGTCCAGTCACCCAGGGGCAGATCTGGGAACAGAACCCAGGAATCCCAATGCCCGTGCCAATGTTTTAACCTCAGGCCTGACCCACACCAGGCTGCTGCGCAGAACCGGGACTCTCCACCTCCCTAATCCATATGAACAGCGCCAGGGAGGGCTTGGAAGGGGCCTGGTGCAGTGGTTTGAATGGGGTGAGTAACAAGTTACATTGGGGCCGGTCCTGCCTGTCACAGCATAACCGGCCTCCAATGGCAATGGGGCCAGCCCTACCTGTCCCTCACTCCACCCTCCTCCCCAGCTGGGGAAATTACTGGGGGCCCAGGACAGGCGGTCACGGGTTAAAACCCAGTCCAGGCCTGGCGATAAGAGAAGTTCCCGGAGAGGCAGCGGAGAACCTCCGAGGGAGAGGAGGGCTGGTTGTCTGCGGATCTCCGCAGGGAAGGAGAGTTGGAAGGGGCCAGCTTGGAGAAGCCGAGGGAGGGCCGCAGCCGGCCTGAACGAGCAGCACAGACCCCAGAAAGAGGCTCAGAGACTCCTGATCCCAGGAGGGAAAATCTACCCAAAGAATCACACAGGCCCAGGCGGGCTGGGTGGGAGATCCCTGAATCCACGGGAACAGAAGTTAGACTTGAGGGGCGAAGGAGCAGTTTGATTTGCTGCACAAGACTTAATGAGACAGCAGAAAAGGGAAGGAATCTTAATTTAAGGTACTTGGTACAAGAGGGAGCTGGAGGCAGCACACCTGCAGGGCCAGGTTAGGGTGCCCCCTTGTGGGCAGAGACAGCTCCCTGTTATACTATCCTATTAAAATACATAGACGCTCTGCATTAACATCCATAGGAGCTGGGAAAGGGTCACGGTGCTCAGCCCAAAGACCCTGATCATGTTATTTAATTCCCTGGCTTGCCAACAAGAGCCTAGCAAGCATGGCAGGGCTATTAGAGACATCAGGAACCAAGCACTGCAGAGTTCAGGTTACTCCCCTCCCTAGATCACCTTAACTCTGCCCCCTTGTAGTGACACTGGCCTGCTCGTCACATGCCGAGTAGGGAACTAAACCCCACTCTGCATAACACACTAATCCTGTGTGTGTGTCTGAGCCCAAGCAAAGGAGCAGGGGTCTCACACGGACAGTGCTGCTTTCCAGGGGGATGTCCCGGGCAGGGGGAGGTTGGATATTTAGACTCCCTGCAACTGGGCTTAGTGACACAGGGAGAGTCGGCTGCCTCAGAGAGCCTGAGGGCCCCAGGATGTGAGGGGCTGGGTAGCTGCCATGCCAAGCCCTCTGTGCCGGAACAGAATGGGTCTGAGGAGCGGGGGTCTGATCGTCCTTGCACGGCACTGTGTCCAATCTAGACGGTAACAATACCGAACACTAACCATGCATGAGCCTCCATCAGGCACCACGCCACATTAGGCTAGACAGGGCAGCAGCCTGTTTCCTGGGTTTGGCACGGATGGAGAGCGCAGCTGGATTTTCGAGGAGTGTCTACAGGGGGGCAGAGTTAAGGTGGTCTGGATGCCCAGAGTGCTACGAGCAGCCTCCGCTCTGCACTGCCTGGGTTTTTAACGTTGAGGGAGTTATTTGAGCTGCTGTTCTTGCCAGGCTCCAGCGGAGGGAGCCGGGGGAACGTGGCAGCGACTGAAACGAAGGGTCACATTTAGCAGCATGAACAGCATCTATGGCGTGTGCCAACTAGATCGGTTAATAGCCGAGGTGGAAACTCCCCCAACTGCGTTACAAAGTGACGGACAGGTTTGTTTCCCAGCTGCGCTGCAGTGAGAGCCCCCCCATCCACTGCCTAATCAAGCCGGCCTCAAAAACACTGTAGGACTTGCAAGCCGTGTCCTGTGTCCTCAGAGGAACACTGTGCGGATGAGCTAGAGATCCTGTGGTGGGAATGAAGTTCCCTCCATTGCTCCAGGTGTGTGTGTGTCTGAGCTGTACAGAGGGAGTGCTAGGCACTGGGGCCGGGTGGGGGAAGGAATTGGAAAGACATCTCATGTGAGTCCTTGCTGAAGTCAGAGAGACTGGGAGGGGAAAACATGCAACTGAATGGGAAGCACAGAGGAGGCCAGACGGGCTGGGAACTCACCTGCCAGAGCTGCCCCCAAACCAATGACGAGGATGACCAGACCTGCAACTGTGCCCCATACTAATGGATTCCTGAAGGGAGACAGACAACCTGAAAGAGAAGCCATGAATGTCCGCAGGGCTGCTCCACTGCAGGGGATCAGGGAGCCAGCAGCATCGGACCAGCCACAGACCAGGTATTTATTTAGATCGCTGGAATGCGTGTGCCCTTGCACGTCTGGATAGTAGTTAAAACCACACACAGTCCTAACAATGTCCTCCCCAAATCCCACCGCGTTACAGGGATCTCAGTTCCTGTTAAGAGGATAAACGGGGCTAGCTAACCCCCCTCTTCCAGTCCAGGCTCTCCTGGAGCATCGGAAGGGTGACCGGCTCCCAGCTGTCAGGGATGGGAATGGGTCTCACCCTCCCCTTCCCTGCAGTCTGTGCCCTGAGCTGTGTCCGGGCCCCCTGCCTGTCACTGAGCCCAGAGCAATTGAACACAAGACCCCCTGCCCCTTCCTCGGTGAGTGTGGGGGGAAATCTACTCTCTCATATTGATTCCACCAGAGAGCTGAGAAGGTGTCGCAGAACTGAGACTTCAGAGACATTCTGAAAAATGAAGGAATTGGGGGACACTGGCTCATTACCCAGGGAATAAACCCTGTGCAAAAGATGTCCGCCCTCTGAGCCAGCGTGGGGCTGGGAGAACAGCTCTGTGGCCCCACCCAGCCTTCACAAACAGTCTTCCCCAAATGCCCAGAGCCACGTTTTCAGAATGCCCAGGGAAAACCCTGCTCAAACCCGGGCTGTGGCCACAGGCCTCAACGGAAGGCAGGAATTTCACTGTCCCCACACACCTGGCTCCTTGTCATGCACAAGTGGAGGATCCTGGGGGTGCCCCAGATGTGGCTAGACTAAGTGCTTTGGGGCTGGGACTGTCATTGTGTGCATGTCTGTACAGCACCCAGCACAACAGGCCTCAACCTGACTGGTCTCTAGGCGCTGGAGTAGAAATACAAGAATCTGCGAGGAGGCCTATGCTCTCCTGTTTGAAAATCTGGTGCTTACGATAAGCAGAGGGGAGAAGGGATGGAATGAACACAGGACAGGGACCAAGTGTTTTAGATGCAGACCCTATAGTGTGTAGAAATGGGGCTAGCGCCCCTTTAAATAGCTCGTGAGCCCTCCAGCAGCGCTCACTGTGTTTTAGGTTTGAGAAGCCAGCCCGAGCAGCAGTGCGCATGTAGCTGAGCCTGGGGTGTCCGTGTGTAGCTAGTACACATGGGTATTTGGCGCCCCACTGTGTCCTGGAGTTCGTCATAGCATTTCACTGCCTTTTGCTCTCTAGTCAGGAGTGACACGTGCCCACCCAGAACTGTTCATCCACAACCCCCCGCTGCACACAGAAAAGGGCGGTTACAGGTGCAGGCTGGGTAACTGTCGACAGGAGCCCACTGGGGCAGTCGGGGCCTTGCTACCTGGACAAACGCAAGGAGACGAACCCTCAGTGGAAGGGGAAATTGCAAAGCCAGCATGCAGCTCCCCACAGCCCATTCCCTGACCACGAAGCTGTGATTACCTGGGTCCTGTCCTCTCCTTGCATCTCCATTGCTACTTGACAACTCCATTAATTGTTCTTGTTGAGGATTCTCTCCAGATTCTGTGTCCCCTCCTGCCTCAGGGTCCCCATTACAGATGGGGAGCATCTCTCTTTGCAGCCTCTGCTCAGTTGAATCTGCTGTTTTCCCCATCTCTCCGCTGACGCACACAGGTTGCTCTGAGCACCTCTGATCCGCTCCTCTCCGGCTGTAGCGAGAGTCACGCCGATTCCTCTCCCTCTGCGGCTTTCAGTTCTGCGCAGACGCGAAGATGTAACACTCAGAAGAGTTCAGGGCACAGCGGGGTCAGTTCTGGTCATTCCCTGTTTGGGCCAAGAACATAAGCACCACGACACCCAGTTAGTTTTTGGCTTCTGAGTTCTACTGCACACGTTGAGAGCCCGCAGACCTGATCCTAATCCCACAGCAGAACCCAGATCCTGCCAGAACAGCCCAATGGCACCACAAACAGTCACTCATTTGGCACATGGATCTGGCCGGCTTTTGGGCCCAAATTCAAGACTTCGCCTAAAGGAAAATGATAGTTTATTGATGCAGTCTCGCCGCACCCCCTGGAATCCACCATCATTCGGCCCCTCACCCTGCTGCTCCTAACAAGTGAAGTTCCTACCAGGACAACAAGAGAGTTTTTAATCTGACATTGCTGGGCAAGAACATTTCAAACCCTGTATCCAACATCTAGACTCAACTGGCTCCTGCTTTTGGCTCAGAAACTCTAAGTCAGATCAGTAGCAGGTAACATATCTGGAAGTCTCCATTCACAGGAAGCCATTACTCTCGGGGGAGGGATAGCTCAATGGTTTGAGCATTGGCCCACTAAACCCAGGGTTGTGAGTTCAGTCCTCGAGGGGGCCATTTGGGGATCTGGGGCAAAAAAAATTGGTCCTGCTAGTAAAGGCCAGGGACTGGAAGTGATGACCTTTCAAGGTCCCTTCCAGTTCTAGGAGATAAAATAATAATATATGGAGATATACCTATTTTATATTATATTATGATTACTGTCACACCATGAGAGTTTGGTCACATCATATATAAACTTCCTGTTGCGGGTTTCCTTCTGCATGGGCAGTCATGCAGTTCCTTCTATCAGATTTCTTTCCAAGACTGTATTATTAAGACTATTTAGAACAAAGAAATGTAAACGTAACCCTACACAGCCTAGACCAGCCAAGGAGGAAACCAAAGAACAACCTACGGCATCTGAAAAGGACGTGCATTGATGATACGCTGTTCTGTGATAGCTAGCAACCGAAGAGCCAGAAGTTAGTGTCTGCCTGAGAATCTTGTACATGAAACTCACTAAAATATACACTATTTTTGAGACCTCAGTGCACTCAGTTGAATCTCATCGTCATAAGGCATTTTTGGTCCAGCCGTTAAACAGATTCTCCTTCGTACAAGTTTGTAGTCATAGTTGAGAGATTGGGGCTAGATCTGGAAAAACAACAAAAAGCAACCCCCCCTCCCACACCCCCACCCATTCTCTTTTCTCGGTGAAGATAAGCAGCACACACTCGCCCCTTTCTAAAACTCTATTACTGTGGTCATTCTTCTGTGTTGAAAGCATTGGTAACGCTTGGCACTGTTCCAGTATAAGGTTGACAGGAAGCTTTTGCTTATTAGGCGTGGCAGAACTCAATATTTGTAATTTCAATGGAGAACGCTGGTTTAGTTCTAATTTTTTAATATGTTTATCACTTTCAATGTTCCCAGCTGTGAAGAAAGTGGGTGGGTGGGGGGCAGACAATAGGTAAAGACAACAGATGTTGATATTTTAAAAGTTCTCTTCCTTTGCCAGGCTGCACATGTCAAATCACCACCAACGGAGATATTTTCCGGCAGCGTGTCTGCGTGTCGTTAAATGAATACTGACATTTTACTATCAAAATCGAATCCTTCCAAGCCTACCTATTAGCTGAATAGGTCATATTGTAATAGCTGCTTCACGGTCTATCATCTGCCCCCCAGCTGCTGAGTTCTTGCGGGAGGAGGCAGCTTCAGCCCTTGCTGTTTAACCTCCTGTTTTCAACAAGGGGATGTTAGAGAGCTGGGAACATCCCCGCGTTTCTGGGGCTGAACCGTGCTCTTGGACTAGAGCAGCAGGACGGGCTGCTTGGCCCCTGCCATTTCCAGGAGAACTGCCCTGGACGGGACAGACACCTCCAGGCTGTTTGCCGCCCTAGCCAGGAGCAAACTGAGATTCGGTGGGGGGGGGGGGGGGGGTTGTTCCACAGTTCAAACAAATAAATTGCTCAGCACAGCCCCCAACTCAATCCCCCTCCCCCATCTGATCAGCATGCAGCCCCACCCAACCCCCTCAACAGTCCCCAGTCCCCCATTTGATCAGTGGAGAAACATACCTGTTCTAGCTCCACCAGTGTAACCCCCTCCCCAATATCCCCTCCACCCGAGCCCTGCTCCACTCTCCAGGGTTTAGCTGAAATCCCTTCCTCCCCAACCTCCAAATCGGTGCAGCCCCGCCCCCTTGCTCCATGCTCCCCCTCCCCACCCTGATCAGTGCAGGATCTCCCATCCTCACCTAGTACCAGAGATCCCTCACTCCGTGCACTGCGTCTCCCTGCCCCAGCAGGACCCTGAACCTGAGCAGGGCAGGATTGGGTCCCATAGACCCAGGGACGGAGAATCCCAGGGCTCTGCTCAGGGCTGTTTCTTCAGCAAACGCTCGAGTCGGCTCCCCTCTCTTCTCCTGCAGACACAAGCTGCAACATGAAGCCAAGAATCAGAACCTGGCAGCTTGCACAACCCTCAGCACGCACCCACTTCACTCTCCCGCGGCAGGTGGCACTTCCCATTCCAGCCAATCCCCGCGAGCACTCCGGAAAACACACCCTAAAAGGGCAGCAGATCTAAACATGACAAGAAGGGAGCCCCACGGGAGAGGAGCCAATTGGCCAGCAGTGAGACTGTTCGCAGGTCCCAAGAAGTGCCCAGCCCCGGACATACCTTGAGGCTCTCATGATCTTTTTAATAACCAGTAATTAAACACACCCTATCGCCTGTGGGGAGCACCTGTCACAAAACGAGCCTCTGAATCCGACTGATCCCTGCATAACACCTTCAAAAGACGAGTCTGGGAGCTTAAATTCATTCTTCTGCTAGACACTAGAAATCACAGACTGAACACAGACACTGCATTTGTGGCTTTTTACAACAGTCGGTAACCCACTAATCCCCTCCTTTTGCCCTATGACTGCAGAGGCGTTAACCAGCCATTCTACCTTGAATGGTCCCTTAGAATATGTGCTAATTACTGATGCTAAACAATTTGTTCCACCTTAGCCTGGAGAACCTTTCCCAGACCTGAAGAAGAGTGCCCTGTGTGGCTGGAAAGCCTGTCTCTTTCACCAACAGAAGTCGGTCCAGTCAAAGATATTACTTCACCCTCCTTGTCTAACCTTTCAATATTCGAGCGACTTATTTAAGAGATCCTTTGCCCATTAAGAAACACGTTATGCTGAGCGCCATGCAAAAATAAAGAATCCGTGATAATTATGGGCACCCGATGCATCCCCTCTCTTCCCTGGCCCTCTAACCTCATGCACAAAGATATTGCCCATGGTCTTCAGTTTTGGAGACTGAAAATGAAAACCATAAAGGAGCAATCGCAAGATCTACAATTGTCACCCCCCACTCTCAGTAACAGCACTTCCCAGAGAGTTAAAACCCATTGAACTCTTGTGCCGGGGCTGCATTGTTTTGGACTAATGGTAGTTCCCGCCTCTCCACCAAGCTATTCTTCATAACAGAAAGGTTCTCCTTCAGCAGAACAGATTCAGATACAATGGTCTGTTACAGAGAATGCCAGACAGAGCTGCCCTCTTTCAAAATGGTGTCCTCTCCTCTTCTCCTCAATGGGACAGAAGCCATACCTCTCCTCGCTTGGTGGCCATTTTGAGAAGGGCATCTCTCTCTCTTTACTTCCTCAAAGTGCAGGGACCCACCAGCTTCCCTGAGGGATCCTGTGGCTTCAGACCCATCAAGAACAATGCAATATGGAGGCCATTTTGAAAGGGGGCTATTCTTTCTGACAACGTTTGTTATGAAAAATAGCCATTAAGCCTGAATGTCTTTGCAGACGCCACCCATTCAGACAGATCTACTCAACAGGCAGGCCACAAGGGAAGGGGAACCGGTGTATCTGAGCACACAGGGTAACCGGTAGGGTGGTACCAGAAGCAGGGGGAATTTTGAGGACAGACAGGGTGGGTGAGGGGGAAGAATCTGGAAAGGCTATTTTGCCCTGCTCCGGTCAAACAAAGCAACTGTAAGTCTACTGCAACGGGCCCATATGCGCGGGCTACTTTGTGCTTCAGAGGGAATGAACAGAACAGGTAATCATCACGTGAGCCACCCCGTCATCCACTCCCACGTTCTGGCAAACAGAGACCACAGATACTCAGAGCACGGTGTTGCATCCCTGCTCATCCTGGCTAATGGCCATCGATGGACCTATCCTCCATGAACTTATCTCGTTCTTTTTTGAACCCTGTTAGTGTCTTGGCCTTCACAACATCCTCCGGCAAGGAGTTTCACAGGTTGACTGGGTGTTGTGTGAAAAAATACTTCCTTTTGTTTGTTTTAGACCTACTGCCTATTAATTTCATTGAGTGACGCCTAGTTCTTGTGTTATGAGGCGTAAACAACACTTTCCTTATTTACTTTCTGCTCACCAGCCATGATTTTACATACTTCAACTTACTTATCTCTTTTCCAGTCTTTTTAATCTCACCTAATATGGAAGCTGTTCCATGCCCCGTATCATTTCCATTGCCCTTATCTGTACCTTTTCCAATTCCAGTATATCTTTTTTGAGCTAGGGCAACCAGACCTGCACGCAGTATTCAAGAGATGGGCGTACCACAAATTTATATAGAGGCATTATGATATTTTTCTGTCTTGTTCTCCATCCCTTTCCTAGTGGTTCCTAACAGTCTGTTTGCTCGATTTGCAGCGGCAGTCAGAAAAAGCTGATGTTTTCAGTGACGCCATGCCACTGTTACTCCTGGGGGGATTCTGTGCCCTTGCGGGGGCACATAATGCATTTGGTCTGCATTTTTCTGTGCCCCCCGTGCAGAAAAATTAAATAAATAAATCAGCCTCTTCCCTGGGAGCCCAGGCGGTGCGTCTGTTCCAGTGTGTCTGGAGGATCAGTCTCAGAGACAGGGGAGGGGAGCCGGGCGTACGTGTGTGCCTGAGTGAGTACCGTTGGAGGGAGCGGGGCAAGAGGCAGGCTAGAGGCACAAATAGCCACCCTGCCTGAGTTAATTGATTCATTCACCGAGGCACTAGCTGCCTGCCTGACTGTAGTAACGTTGTTAAAGTTGCTTGTGATGGTTAATTGATCTCATTCTCTGGAGCAGAGATGTAGCAGCCTGACTGTTATGTTAATTTTGTTCACGTTTCTATTGTTTTTCAATTCCCATTCTAGGTCAATTCCCCCAGGAGCATAAAGTTTTAAGGCCCTACATTGCCAGAGTGATTTGAAGGCGCCTTATTATAAAGGACAGTAAGGGAATCCTGAGCTAAGAAGGTCTACGTGCTTTCTCACTTTCTTCCTGTGCCAAAGTGACACAATGGAATTAAGGATCTGAACAGGATTATTTTACCTACCCATTTTTAAAAAAAGACTTTTGAGGGCAAATAAAACATTTACCAAGCAGTCAATAAAACATTTACCAAGCAGTCAATAAAACATGAGGACAGTCAGAACCAAACACTTCCCAAAGTACCCAGCCAGGACGATAATTAGAAAAACTGTACGACTTTCATGTGTGCAAGTCTGAGCAATTTGAAATGACATTCCACTCCTCCCCCCGCCCCACATACACACCCAGTTTGGTGTTCTGTAATGTAATTTAAATGAAAATCCAGGATTGTAACTGGAATGCAGGGTATTAGTTACCAAGTGTTTGTAACTTAATTTTCATGTGTTTAGGAAATGCTGAATAGTTATTGAGACTTTTTTCTGTATTGCAGTTTAAATAAATTACCAAAGCAATTGAAACTGGTGTGATTATATTGCATTATTTTGACAAATAAAATATGCAGAATTTTGAATTTTTTGGCACAGAATTCCCCCCAGGGGTAAACTGTTACGGGGTTAACACCCTTAATCTAATCTGACATCACAAGCCATGAACTAACATTCAGAGCAGGGTGGACTGATAATAATCAAAAGTTATTTAAAATCACCAAGCAGGAAACCTTGATTTAATCATTTAATTTAATCTTGTTCTGAATTCATACTTTAGTTATTTTCCTAAAGAGAGGTTGATTCTCACTGGTTGGAAATCATTAAAACACGCTGATTTGCCTTTACGCTAAATGTGGTGGGGGTTTTTTTGTTTTAATACAGTATATCTAGACACATTTATTTAAGCAATTATATAGCTTATGTTTGTACAGATTCTTAATTTTTATATTTGTATTGTGTTAGAAAGTGGTGAGTGACGTTTTTCCTACTAGACAATAATGATTTGCGGCAAGCTCTGTTTAAATGGAAAATCAAATTCAAATATAAATGCACCAAAATTTTTTATTAGTTAAATAAAAACTACCTTAAATGTGCTGGATATACAAGAAACCTATTATCAAAATGTTTTGCATTTAAAACTGATTTGTTAAACAAAGTATTCTCTATAGTCATGGGCGATGCATGGGGGGGCCCAGCGGCCCTCGCTGACCCGCCCGTGGCAGTGGCCCCTCACTAGCTCCACCCCCCAGTAGCAGCACCCCCATTTATACCAGTTACCTGTGTCTAGAGTTAGTGAATTAAGCTGATTGTTTCTGGTCACTGTGTCCTTCAAGATTTTTAGAACTAGGAGATCTCATCCTGTTACATCTAGTTATTATTCATGGATTGGAAGAAAGAAAACAGAAAAGCTTATTTATCCAACTAGGAATGAACTAGTCAACAAATTGAACTATTTAAATAAATTGAAATGAAGAAAAATTCTCTCTGCAACAGAGGCTACTGCTGTTAAAAGCTGGTTTATCATTTCAGCAAACTCTCGTTCCAGGTGCTTAGTCAGTGCCTTCCACTAGTTCAGTGATTTGCCTTTATTTAAGCCTTTGCAGAAGACAAGTTCTGCTTAATTCTTTTTAATTAAGAAATTATAGTATGTTTAGGTTCTAACCCAGGCTGTCAAATTCAAATAGGTTTATTTTTAAAAGAAAACCGATATTTACTTTAAACAACATTTGATTTTGTTTTTAAAAACTGATTTCTATCCAACCCATTTTAGAGACATTAAATGTTTTCACTTCTTCCATCCTCATTATAGCACTAAAGAGCAGAGTTAAGGTTTCTGAGGACGGAGAATCTGTTATTAAAATAGTGAGGGGGGTAATGAGCATTAATCCTAAAAACACATGTATATTCAACAGTAGCCTGTACTGAACACTGGCAATGATCTAATAACACAGGAAAAGTTCAAAGAATCTGATGAGGCAGAGTTTGGACACTCAAACCTTGACACGTTTGGATTGCTTTCAAGTGTAACCATAATGGTAACCAGGGCCGGCTCCAGGCACCAGCCCACCAAGCTTGTGCTTGGGGTGGCACCTGGAGGGGGGCGGCGTGGTGCGGCGCACTGGTCCCCGGGGAGAGCGGGGCCACGGCCGGGCTCCGGCCGCCCTCCCCCACGCG